GAAAAAGAAAAAGAAAAAGAAAAAGAAAAAGAAAAAGAAAAAGAAAAAGAAAAAGCCTGGAAGGTTTGATTTATAAAGGGAATGAGCTGTAAGATAATGTGCTTGGACTGGCTAAACTGAGGCGGGTGTGAGAAAAGTGGGTGACAGCCAGCAAGCACCAGAAACAGCCCAGGCAGCGAGAGAGAAAAGCACAGCCTGCCTGGTGAGAGTGAGACACACAGAAAGTGCATGCTAAGTAGGAGTGCCAGGATGACATTTGAAAAGGGGAAAATTTAGGCTGAGCGTCAGGAAAAGCTTCCTGACAGTGAGATGCATGCACTGGAACCATCCCGCGGGAGAAGCCCTGGAAGCCTCATCACTTGGCTTGCAAGGACCGAGCTGGAGGAGAGCTGCAAGTCCTGGAGAGGCCTTATCCAGAGCTCACTAAAAGTCAAGAGCAAGGCTAGGACTAATTATGGGAAGCCTGCCTCAAAGACAAACTCCACAACCAGGAATACTGTGCAGGAAGAGGGGAACTCCCCGTAGGTAACTGGGTGGTAGCAGATTCCAGGCACAAGCATCACTCTCCCCATGGGAGCTGAGAAAAAAACAGATAAGCATGGTGGGAAAATAGATGGGGAAATAAATAATCCCTTCTCCTTTAAGGCAACATTATCTCTCAGAGAATAGTTGCTCTGCTCTGGCCAAGGCACAGGCAGCTAGGGCTCAGGCTTCTGTTAGTCTGGGCCCCTGGGAAGGCCAGCTGCCAAAAAAGAGGGAAATTCTGCTTTAGTCAGGGGATAGGGCATGGGTACATTGGGAGGGAAATGAGAGAGTGAGGTAGCTTTCCACAGGAGACCAAGGGAAAGAGGGGAGACAGGCACTGTGTCTCCGGATGTGTAGCAAAGCAAGAAGCCCATCAGAACAATCGGGACTGGGGGGAGGAGGTAACGGCTGCACGCAGAAGCCAAGGCAGAGAAGCTTCAGGAATGATGCCATTTCCCTCCTATCAAGAAGAAGTCTTGTCCAAAGGAACTCATGTTAAAAACAGCCAGGGCGCTGACTCCATCCCCAGGGCTCACTGAGCCACCAGCCCTCTTTTGTCACAGGAGGTGATTTCCCCTGTGGGGAGGCAGAGTAATTTCACTTGCAGGGGACTATCTCTGTGCCCCATTCCTGGCCATGTCGCTTGGCCAGCTGTGACCAGCCAGGTGGAGCCTCTCTGTCATGGCACATGGAGAGCTACAGCATGAAGCCTCAGAGCTGTGAGCCAAGACCACAGGTGACGTAGTGTGACCTGAGCATCATCCCACCAATTCCAGTGGCCTTACTGGGAGCTTACATCACAACGTCACTTCCACAGCATGAAACTGAATTTCAAATTCTGATCCCCTGTGAGCTTCTTCTACCTCCAAGGATAGTATCTCAGTGCCAAAGGTAGCCACATATTCATGCAGGAGATAGTCAGGCATGGGCAGTTAAAGCAATAACTGGGCTGTACACACAGCAGCCCTGGGAGTGCCTGTTGCATGTGCCATCCATCTCCCATCCCAGCTTTTACTTTTGTGTTCCTTTATTCAGAAACACCGCCTTCTCCATTTAAACAGCAAACCCAGGAGGGCAGGAAATGACAGCCCATGCTCTTGCCAAGCCAAAAGAAACGGAGCTAAAGTGGAAAGCCTATTTTAAGAGTAAAGTACAATACAAAGAGTTTGCACTTATTTCCAGACCAGGCATTACAAAACCAGGGAATTCAGAGTTAAAGTTATGCTTAAAATAAATTCAAACTTGTTGAAGTGTGGCAGTATGCAACCAAGGCATACAAATAGCCTTAATTCTGCCCTGCACTGACACAGCCGTATGACTGTGATTAAAATGTTTTACTACTTGTGTTCCTAAACTAGATTACCCTGATAGATACAATTTTTTTTCATATTCCCTTGTTTTTCCCTCCCCCGACAATCCTGTGCCCCAGATATTGCCACTAGCATAGATTTCACTGCCTACCAGGAAAAAAAAAAGGTACATATCACAGGTCTTTCACATCTGTAATGGGAGCCCCAGGCTAAGTATTGTCTTGGAAATACCCTCCCTCCTACCCTCAGATCTGCAGCCACCCCTGCCCAAGGCTCTGAAGAGCACAACTGAAATGTACACCCAGTCCTGCTGAGGAGAAGGAAAGGGCTTTCTTCACACCTTTGATACCACTGTCATCTACACTCATGTATTTACTTTACAAACCCATTAAAACCTTGGGTTTAAAGTGTAGAGAAAATAAAAGAGAGACAAAGAAGCATCATCTGGATAAACAATTATGGCTTTTTGTCAAGGATTCAGGAGCTAATCGAGTCCAGATCTGTTCCACATTCACATTTACATGTGAAATTGTACTTACTGAGCTAGAAAAAGTCAGATAAGCATCAAGAGTCAGCTCTGCCCTCTTCTACACAGTGCAAACTCCGTGGAGTGAATGGGGGCTCCCAGGGCGTAACAGAAGGCAAAGTTTGGCCCCAAATACTTGCAGGCCATGCGGCTGAGATGCACATGAAAGTGGCTGCTCTGCACTTCAGCCCAGTTTGAAATGACTCTCCAGAAGTTCTATTTACTTAAGAGTGTGGGTGGCCTGACTTGTCACGATGCGTTTAAATATTTGGCACTAAATCACAGCTGTCCACTTATTTGCACTTTTGCTGCTGGGCAGCAGGAACACCCCTGGAATTAGTCAGCATGAGATGCATTAATGAGCTAACACATATATTATGGTTTACATTTTGGACTTCTTTTGTTCACATAAATACACACCTACTCTCCACTTCTTTCCCAGCACAGCATATATTCCTGAACATGTTGACTTTCCAAGCTTTATTTTATTTGGCCTTTATTAATGAGCTTGCAAAGTTTTCTGTAATGGAGAAAAGCACCTTGCCCCTAGCAGCCTTTCTGTGCATTACATGCAATCCTGAAGAGACTCATTGTGTGAGGGGAAATCATCCAGCCTCAGAGAAGTTTCTCTTCACAAGCCAAAAGCCATCCTCTGCATGTAAAGATCCCAAGTAAATATGGAACCAATAACAACCATGAGCAAAGACCTTTGCATACGGAAAATATTTACAGAGTCCGTGTTACAAGTCACTTTGTCTGGAGGAAAATGCTTGCACTTCTGCTGTGCAGAAAGCAGGCAATCTTTTGTACAAAAAGAAAGAAAATCTTGTTATCTGTGTTAACACTCCCACAATTCATCCATACCACTTCTTCACTGCCAGTAACCTTTTATAAATCACAGATATATCATAGGTTTAATAACTCACCAACAAACTGTGTCCCATTCAGTAGGACTGCAAGGACTGTAACTTGTATGCCTAATGGATGCTAATTGCAAAATATAATCATTTTTTATTAAACAAAATAACGGAGATTTTACCAGGGTAATGCTCTAGCATGGAATCAATGGGAGCCAGTTTTTTGTGTGTGTGAATAAAACAGTTTTTCATTTAAAAAAATGCTTATTTGCTGACACCAAAGTTTCTTGTGGGAATACATCACTTTTATAATTTAATTTTCATCTGGAAGATTTTTCAGGTCAAAAATGGAATTTCTGGTCAGAATCATAGCAGGGAGGAACACACAGGAAGCCGGGCTCTGAGCTGAGCACAGCCGGACCTCTTTTTTGCTCATTTTTGGCCATACTTCTCCAGCACCATTTCCCGCTTTTCACTTCAGCCCCTCCCAGGAGCAGAAGGTGCAAAACCACAGACTAAAAGCATGGGCCCACTTCGCAATTGTATTTTCCGGGAAGCATCCCCAAATGGGTCGTTGCCTTCAGCCAGAGGGCCATGAAGGAGCAACCCCAATGCCAGCAGCCACTCTCACCCATGCAACAGGATCTGGGAGAGGATGTCTGGCTATATCTGCCTTCTCCTCCATGTGCAGGAACTCACCATATCAACCAAAAGCACCTCTGGTAAAGGCATAAAAGCACCCTCTCCCTGGGAGGTTGCACAGCTTTATCTGCAGCAGTGGAAGAAAGCGGGAGAGCCGAGCTGCCAGCAAGCCTCCCTACCCTCATAGCCTGATTCACCAGAAGCCCGGCCGCTTTTTGCTACCATAATGACCACACACCAGAGCTGCAAACCTGGTTTAACTGGCCAGTTTGTGACACTCTTGTGCCCACAGAGTGGTATTGAATAGCTGGAAGGGGCTGGTGAGCTCCTCCATGAACTCTTCTGCATTGCATACCGCAGGCAGGTTGCTGCAGCAGAGGTGGAGACTGAGCTGTCACCAGCCACAGTGCACAGCCTTGTCCTCCATTCACCTTAAGGAGGACAAGTCAGAAGCAGTTCAGCTCAGCCACAGCAGTCAAATGAGTCTGAAACACTTTAAGGAGGGATCAAAATCACATGTGCGTGTGTGCGTGTGTGGTTTCACAACACCTCCCTCTCCCCACCACCAGCCACACCAGTTTCCTCAAAGCAGAACAGTAGAGGACAGACCCGTGGTGCACTAAAGCCTTGTTTTTCCCACTGCTTAAAGAACTGACCCAGCCCCCTCAAATGTTCCCAGCATATTTGAACCGTGAGTCAGAGACCACAATGGAGATACTTGCCTAGCTTGACAAAGTTTTAAGTACATCCTGCCAAATAGCAATCACTGATTTTTTGCTCTGTCACTCATGAGCCCTCTTTGTGCTGTCCTAACCATACAAAATGCACAGCCTCACTGGGGAAGCAAGGATTACCATTTGGATGCTTACCTGTAGCACCTCCAGCTTCTCATGGTCCCTTTCATGCAGAGCGCTGCCAACAGATCATATGGAAACTTGCAGGTATTGAAAGCTCACATCTCTGTATCCACTGTGGAAGCAATAAAGATAGAGGATGGAAAGAATAGCAGCAGTACTGAAAAGCAAGGCCAGGAAACACTTCATCTTTACAGGCAGGGCCTAACATTTAAAAGAAATAATTATTCAAGAACAAGATTTCCACAGACTTGTCTAGCACCTCATTTAGCAAAACATCCTAAGGCTTAGGAGTTAATCTGTGATGGACCTTCACACCCTTCATTGGGCTACCACTGTTGAGGTAAACCTTGGTAAAAGGGAGCAACCAGGAGTAGGAAGCACCAACCACGTCTTTCCTCATAGCTAAAGCCACCGCCTGTCAGGATTTAGCATCCAAAGTGATAAAATAATTTTTCACTCTTTCTTTTGCAGTGGTAAAAGGCCTGCAGCATCGAGCAGGGCTCCATTTCCTCCCCCCACTCTGGCATATCATCTGAACAGTTCATACAGCCGTGCTAGGGGCAAAAAGATTATTATTGTACCATAGTGCACAGTCATTTCCTATTTGTAAGTTGCCCTACACAATCATGACTACTAGAAAGCTTTTTCCTTAATTAGCTTCCCCCTCCCCCACCCCTTTTTTTTCCGCCAAAAGCCAAGGTTCTCACACGATCCCAGCACTCTGGCAGAGAGGCACAAGGGCCTCAAGGAAATCCCCCAGTATCACAGTGCAAGGCTTGATCTGAAGCGAGGAGAGCTGGCAGCTGTGCAGTGCACCTCAACACGCCAGCTGTTGCTCCAGTGGTGGAGCCATGTTGGGAGGAGTCCGAGTACCAGCAGCTGAGAAGAAAAGTCAGACACAACCAAACCCTCCAACGTTATAGGAAATCAAGGTTGTGTGTGTGTATGTGCGTGCACTTACTTTACTTTTCTTTTTTTTTCCACTGCAACTAGACTTAATATTTCTTCAGAGGATTCATGCTCGTACTTGTACCAAGAAATCCTTGCCATTATCTTCTCCATCGCCTGGGCTACAATGCAGGGAGCAGCCTGCAGTTATCCATCCCTGCTGTCTGGGGTTTGGGACAGCTGTGCTGCAAGGCTGGAGGGATGGGGGAGTTTCTGGGCTCTGAGATGCACAAGGGGGAGAGAGATCATTTTGTGCGCTGCTAATCTGTCTCTGTAGGAACACTGGTTTTCACCTCTGTAGTACCTGCCATGGGGAGCTTCAGAGGGGACACAGGAGCAGAAGAAAAATAACTTCAAGAAAGATTTACTCCCTTCCTTATTAGTTAATGCCTGCCAAAAAAAATGATACAGAGGTAGGGGGTTGAATAGGTCTTAGCGGACTTCACATAACAAATGAAAACATCACACTGACATCTTTCTCTTTTCAGGAAGAAGGAAGCTTTGACTGAAGCTGTCTCCAAAGCCCTAGATAGCAATCCAGGAGCTCTAGGATGTTCTTCCCAGCTTCATCTCAGGATTGAAATTTCAGGACCATGGTGTCTTGCTGACAAACCTGAGCCACACTAAGCTGAAGATAAAATACCAGTGATAGTTTCAAACTTCCCTTTTCCCCCACCCGAGCACTCATTGCTCTGAGCTGTGCACATGTACTGGCCTCTCCCAGCTCGGCCCTGGTGACAGGGTGATACATGGCCCAGACCTGCACTCCCTGAATGCCTCACAGGCTTTCATCTAGCACAGAGCTAGGCACTGGAGGTGCATAAGAGGGAGCAAGAAAGAAAAAGAAGCTGTTGCAATGTGCAACAAATACAGATCTTAATATGGATTTCCTCCCAGCTGAAAGAAAAACCCTGTTGTACAGCCACAGTAGATCGGACCAACTAGTGCAGGGGGGTGCAGTGCATTTTTAGAGCACACTATTCTGGACGACAAGCTTTGGAAAGTGTTTCTGGAGGCTGAGCCAACCTCACAGTGCTGGGCCCAAAAATATTTAACACGTGCTCTTCTTAAAAAAGGCATTTTAAAGAAGTCTGGAGTTGAATCTGAATGCAAGTGGCTTCTTTCAGGTCTCCATCCTCAGAGGCAACGCAAGCAGATTCAAGGGGCACAAGCTGGCCACAAGCCCTCAGCTTGCTCCTTAAGACAAAAATAAAGAATACGGCTGCAAAAATCATTGCATATTCACCTTGTAATTTTCTAATGGTGTTTCTCAGAGCAGTGGCCACCACCAATGTACACCATAGTGCTCTCCCAGGCATTGTGCAGCCACCGTGCCATCAGCTGGGCTGTGAGATTGCCAGCTCTTGCTCACAATACAAAATATGGAAGAGAGATGGAACCTGAAACCAGGGAAGGTGCAAACAAGGGCTAGCAGCCTCCCACAGCAGAGCAGGATAGGCTGCCCACCAGGAGTACCTTCAGTACTTAGGAGAGGACAGACTTTCAGTGCTTGGCACTCAGAAACCTTACATGAGCACACACATTTGCACAATGCAATGAAACACTGGCTCTGCTCTTTTGACAAGGGCGTGTAGTGATGGGACAAGGGGTAATGGCTTTAAACTGAGAGTAAGTTTAGATTAGATATTAGGAAGAAATTCTTTGCTGTGAGGGTGGTGAGGCACTGAAACAGGTTGCCCAGACAAGCTGTGGATGCCCCATTCCTGGAAGTGTTAAAGGCCAGGTTGAATGGGGCTTTGAGAAACCTGGTCTAGTGGAAGGAGTCCCTGCCCATGTCAGGGGGGTTGTAACTAGATGATCTTTAAGATCCCTTCAAACACAAATAATTCTGTGATAACACACACACCAGCTCCTTACAGACCTGACGACTCCAGAGGCCTAAAACAGGGGATGCACCTCTCTCCTGTCCCTGTTAACTCACAGCAGTTACGAGGGAGGCAGCAGCACACATCCCCACTCCAATCCACTCCTGGAACCCATATCACCAGCAATCCACCAGGCTGTTACACCATTACAAGTAGGCTTGGCAGAGCAGCCTCCCCAGCCAAGGTAAGGTTTGTATCAGGGGCTAAAGATCAAACTGTATCTATCTCTGAACACACCTTTGTTAGTTTTGGCTGCACCCTTTCAGGTATCACCAGTCTCCCCAGGCAAACACATTCCTATCCCAAGTGCCCCAAGCCTGCTGTGCTCCTCCAGGGGCTGCGTTCACCTGCCAGGTAGCTGCGCACCTACTAGATCCATAACACCAGCCAGCAGCCAAGGAGGGACAGCCCCGGGAATAATGTAGCTGCAGCAAGCATGTTGCAGGGAGCAGAGGAAGGAGCTGGAAGCAGATGCATGGTCAGGCTGCTCTTTGGCTTTGCTGGAAACAGGAGTGGAAAGCTGGCACCAACATCCAACCACCCCAACAAACATTGCATTCATATGCAGAGCTACAGAGCAAACGATCTGTCAGTTGTTCATCTGGAGAACAGGTTTCACCAGCCCGGATTAAATGATTACGTTGCCACAGCATGTGCTTCTTGCTGCTCTTGGAGATAAAGGAAGTAAGGCACAAGGAGCCTTATGGGAGAGAGACCTGACCCTGCAACCCAGCTCCAAGCACCTTTATGCTTGGAGAAGGTTTGGACCAGCACAGAGCACTGGGGAAAGGGGAGCAAGTGCATTTAAAGGCAGAATTTTGGTGCTGATGCACTAAAATCACTACTGCAAGAAAACACCTCATTTGATCGAAAACAGAAGGCGCACACTTTCCCTCCAATTACTGCCTCCAGATGTGCACCAGACTGGCTGTATTTCTGAGCCTTCTGCTCCTTGTTCCCACAAAGTTGAAGGCAGAGTGAGTGCAGTTGGAGGTCTAAAAGCACATGTGCAGCAGCAACAGGCTCCAACCAGAGCCTGCGTCCTGCCTTCACAAAACCCCTGTTGAGTGACTCCCTTAGGATGTAATTGCAGTCGACTTCATTCCAGGCCATGAGCATATGTCTGGCTACGGACACTACTGCAAGCACACGAGTTAAAAAAAAAAAGAAACATAAAGGAGAAAGTGCGAAACTACACTCTGGTAATCCAAGCCCAGTTAGGATAATGGGTGTTTCCCTCCACAAAAAAAGGTTACTTTGCTACCTTTAGCAGTCTGGCCAGCTTCCCTGCATTAGTCTTTTGCAAGCAGAAAAGAAAGGCTGACACCAGTTTAGCAGACTCAAAACTAAAATATTGCACCAAATCCATGGGCCCCAGCAGCACACCCTGAATCCCTCTGGAGCACACGTGGGCAAAAAGCAGATGCCCAAAGAGCTAACACAGCAATTTCAGGACTCTCACAGGCTTCTGGGGGCTTTGAACCCTTGCTCCAGGGATCCCAAGGCATCTTTCTCCACACTGTGGCCTTTCATGGATCATCAGAGCTCACCCCAAGTCCCCATCTCTCAGAGGAGTATGTGTCTGCAGTGGGGGCAGTGAAAGGTTCAGGGATGCAGTCACAGCACAGTGTGGGCAGCAGGAGGTGGAGCCACCACCCTCTGCACCCACTGAGTTTCACAAAATTAACAGTAGCAGCAGCACTATTGCTTTCATATTTGCCTTTGTTTTCCCCCCAGAAAGAGCAAACCCATACATTGGTCCATCTACTGCTCAGGAGCTGCACAAACACTGCTCTGAGGAGAACTCCCTACAAATAGCCTGCAGCAAGCACCCAGCACCCAAGACTCTCAGCTCAAACAGTTGCAGGCTGGCAAATCTCTAAGCTATCAAAGTAAGGTCTTATCAATGGGAAGTGTCAGACAGACCTAAGCAACACTGAGCTGTCCTTCCCACATCAAGTGGCCAGAAAACACATAGGATTTGTCCAGCTGGGATGGCTCCCAGTCAGGCATTTACATTTATGGCTCATGGTTTTTAAAAATACATCCCAGTGCATGTACGGATGTACTCCAAGATACACTTACATCCACAAGCACATGACCCAGGAGGTGGGTTTGAGCTGAAGTGACTCAGCCTCCTGGTTACAGGAACAAAATTAGCAACCACTCATAAACGTCTTATGTCTTAGATGGGGCTAGATGGCACTGTAAGTTAGTTAATGTCCCTTTGCCTCAGGAGATTTCACCTTGGCATTATGATCAGTGGAAAACCAGGAAAGCTGGTGCTCCCTAGGGTATATTTTCCAGAGCTGGGCTAGTAATTCACTACAACAACCTGATTCAACACATTTTCTAGGTACCTAGTTAGGAACTGTATCCAATAATTTAGTCATTCTTTGGAATTTACTTTTTTTTTTTTAACAAATAATTCTTGGCTTGCCAAGATTTAAACATATGTTTTCCCCCAGTACTTGGCCTACATTTCCCCTGCTTTAATTTATCCCATTACTCCTTATTAAGCCCTGCCCCCCTACGCCCGTTGTTCCCATGCTGGATCCCTCTACCTCTCCCAGGAGAGCAGTGATGAAATGACATTTGCCTCCCAGACCTCCTGGCACATCACCCCTTCTCTTCAGGATCAGCCCAGCGGGGCAGAGAGCCTTCTGGCCTGGAGCCCCTAGAGCACTCAAGGATGCACAGCTGAAACAGAGCAAGGCAAAGCAGTGGAGGGAGGCAAGGACCAGGCTTGAAGGGACAATGCCTGGCTGTATTCAGGTTAGAGCATTCCAGTGCCACGGCCTCGAGTCACTGTCTGAGCTGGTTAGGAGATGGACGAGTAAGGATCTGCCCTATTCTCACACCCAGACCTTCCAGAGCCTCTGCATTCGAGCGAGCACGCTGTGGCTAATGGCACCGTGCCACCGTGGGGGGGGGAGGGGGACACGCCGTCTCGGTGCAGCACATCTGCCTCTGAGGCTGAGAAGAGGATGGCCACCTCTTTAACAGAGACCCTATCCATCACATCTAATACTCAGATGGGTATCTCTCTCCCATCATTTAACAAAAGGAGCAGCCCTCTGGAAAAAAAAATGAAAAAAACCCAACGCTTTTCCCAGCAGAGGATCCCATCAGCTCCCGAACAGCCTGGGTCATTCGTGCCTGTGAATCTGCCTCCCCGTTCCTCAAGTAACAGATTAGTCACGTACATTTGCAATGGCAACGATTCTGCCAAATAGCTGAGGAGCGAGGAAGGAGGAGAACAGCAACATGAGAAAAACAGGCAGAGGAGAGGAGATGAGAAATAAAATGTCTTTTCCTCTTCTCCCATGCCCCTTTGGTTTTCAACAGCCTTTGCATTCACAAGCTGCTAAACAGCTGAATCACATGCTGCAGGTGAAATCCAGGCATTATCTAGCCAGAGACTTGGACAACCCTGTCTCTCCTCTTTTGCCTCTGGGCTGGCAGGAGCACTGCCCAGCAGCCAGAATACTGACAGCTCCTCTGAGGTTGGGACAAAAAGCCTTCCTAAATATGAACACCGTTTGGCAACTGGGAAAAACTCTCACTTGAGTTCCCATCTTCTCAGTGACTGACAAATGCCAGACCCTGCAGGGCTGACATAGGCTCCAGGCTGCAAAGTGTCCCACTTAGAGGCAAGTCAGTCAGAGGGGAAAACAAACAGGCTAAAGGTATCCAGAAATCCAGCTCCTGATTAGTACGTGGCTCACTGCAAATAGTTACTTCCTTCTTTCAATAATACACATGAAAAATCACCATTGTCATTAGAGCAGCAGCGCATGGAGCCTGTAAGCAGGTCATACAGCTCCTCTGTGCTGTACATGCTTGTGTTGAACTGCCCCTGTCCCAACATGCTTTCAGCTACAAATGCCCTGACAGGTAACACAGAGGGAGAATCAAAGCAAGAACACCTGAGTGATCCAATAACGGGGAAAAAAAGTGCAGGCTGTTTCAGGTCATTTGATTTGTGCACACATTCCCAGACACTCAGTCTTTCCTCTGTAGTTCAGGGAAATGCTAAATGGGCAGCACGGCCTGGAGAGACTGTAAAGAGGAGAAGAGAAAACTAGTGCCTGGGGGAAGTAGATGAGCTGGTTTTCAAGAAAAGCGTTACTGCTGCAATAAGAGATAGGGACATACGTAGGCAGTCCCCGTCCTGGCAATAAATAACAGCTACAAAACTCTTATTAACCTCCGTAAAATATGTTGGTTCTGCCAGTTCATCCATCACGAAGCTATCTGTCAAATGTCAGCACTGCAGTACTCACTTCAGCTGTCCCAGAGAAAGACAGAAAACACAGCAGGTTGATCACAGCATCCCACATGCCAGCCAAGGAAAGTCACAGTTGCAAAGGACGCATCCGTGTTATGATAAAATGATGCTCCCCTCTTGTATCCTCTGCATTAGGGGGCAGTTCTGAAAAAGGAGAATAAAATAGAAGCATCACTTCTGAGACAGGAACTTCACTGTAACAAAAATATCAAAAAAAAAAAAAAACAAACAAAAAACAACTCAGGAATCTTCTACCTTTCTTTCCTACAAACAAGCAGCCATGGGTTTTGGCCTGAGCATCTGGCCCAGTGCATTCACCTGCAGTCCAATGCAAGCCTGGCTGGCCCCAATCATCAGCAGGGATGGGAAGTGCCAAGTCCCTTCTCCTTTCCCCATCCCACTTCATGGAGGGGAATTCAAGAAACAAGTGGCCTGATACTGCTGAGAGAAGTCCTGTCCCATGAGTTGCCAGGCTTCCCCCACTGTTCCATTTCAGAAACAGCATGGGGAGGAGGGAGAAATGCATAAATCAGAGCTCTGATATCTGGCACTACACCAGGACATAGATTAGACTACTCAATCATTTTAATTGCTATCCAACAGTAATAATCTATTTAGGCAATTTACTCTAAAACATGTATAGCACTTTGGTCTGTTTATAATGTTAATTGGGGAGGTCCTGAACCAAACAGCCACCCTGGGTAGCAAAGCTGTGTATCTGGGGGGATTTGTTTGGTTGGCTATTTCCAGAACTGCACTAGCATAATGTTTTTCTTAGCTTTTTGCTTCAACATATATATTTTTGTCTGTTTACTTGGCAATCTCATGTACTTGGCAGAGAGAAAAAAAAAAGCAGAGCAGTAACCGAAATTACACACACTTCCTCATGCAACACAGGGTTATTCTTCCATGTCTTGTTCCTGCCCAGCATATTTAATTTTGTACTCCTTTGACTTGGATGCTCAGGAAGGATGCCATTTTTAGAGTTACCAAACCTAAGTAGCTGGAGCTACATAAATGAGGAGTATGTCAAGACCTAAGGGGAACCAATGGTTTTACTAGGTCATCAGTTAACCCACATAGACAGGAGTGCAGGGTGTCAGTGAAGGAGACAATTCAGCTCCAAGACAGATCCCAGCATGGGGAGTTTCGTGCTCCACAGAGGCACTTTGCTCTCCCTTAAGGAAGATGGGACATCAGAAAGAGTTCATCCCCCTCCATCCACACACACTGTTACCACCTCTGTTATTGCAGGTAGGCACTGGTAAGGATGTGCTGAGTATGCAGAAGCCATTGCCTGCCATATACTGAATAAAACCGCAGGGAAAAAGATGGTGCAGCCTCTGCTCTGGCTGCGTCCATCCCACATGTCAATAAGCAATAAGAACAGGGCACTGAAAAATAAACCTCACTGCTTCAAAAAGCTCCCAGGAGCGTATCTTCAGTGGTATCATATTTTTCCTGCCTCTTTCTGATCCTTTTTTTACTGTTCAAGTTAACATCTTTTTCCTCTTGCTGAACCAGCATTTCCTGACAGCAAACCATAGTCAGAAATTTTCCATCCAGTTCTCAAGTGGATTTCAACATTCAGTGCTTGTGCATGCTTATGAGATGTTAATGTCAATCTCAGAAAATTATCTACAGGATGTGCAAAAGGGTATCACCAATGAGGAGCATCACCTGCATTTGGGGAAGTTCAGACACTAGCTGCTTTCTTTGCCTCAAAACTGGGGACAGCTCTTCTCTGCTCACTTATATCTGTAATGGTGATCCTCGTTTGCATGATTATTGCCCAACTGACCTGTCACTTGGAAAAAATCCTTCCACAGGGAACACTGCCTTTTGTGACAGAGCATATCCCCTTTCAAACACCCCAGGGACATTCTGATGGTTTTAAAACCAAACATTTTGGAGAAGAGCATTGCTCTCCCAATAAACAGCAGTACAGACAGGCCTCAGAAGCCAAACAAGCCAGACAGGAGCTTGTGGGAGGAGATGGTAATAAATACAATAGCCAGCTTCTTAATCACCATTCCCAATGCCTGATAATCATTACCTTGTCACAGCTGCCCTGGTCATAGCAGTGACAGGACAGCTCTCCACATTTCCAGGACTTTACCCAGTGAAATCTCCTCAGGGATGAACAAGGACTTAAGTGTAAGCACACCTAAGAACTTTTAAAGAAGTTGGAAAAGAAATATCTCCTGCTCTGCCAGAGAGCCACCAGTCACAAGGCAGCCCAGGAACAGCAGCCTCCAGTCTGCAGCAGTTGCACTTCAGCAATCCCAACAGTCAAGGCTTTTTTGGGAGTAGGGATGGACACAGTGAAAACCAGCCTGTCCCACTCAGAATTTCTGCCTGCAGGGCACTCACGCTAAAGCTGTCTTAATATGGTTTTAATGGCAGTCAAATGACAAGCAAGGCATCATTCCCTTCAAAGCCCAGCACTCCTTCTCCACTAATATATCTACAACTGCTATCATCAGCTTAAGGGGCAATAACTTCACCAGGACACAAAGCTGGTTTATGAGGGGGAAGCGGCAGAGTTAACCCAAAGTCATTAAACCACCCACTGTCATCAGCCAGCAGCTCTGAGCACACTCGCAGGGAGGCAGTGGAGAGACACAACATCCCAGCAGCATGTCCGAGAGAGGATGCGTTTTCTAAAGGACACAGCTGATTCATCTCTGCACTTAAAAATCTCGGGCAGTTTCAGCTGCAGAGGCCTGACCTGCTTGGCATCCAGCCGGCCGGCATCAGCTGCCTCCTGGAAAAGGGAAAGAAAAAAAAAAGCTTCCAAATTACAGAGTGGGCAGAGGAATTCGGAGGTGGGGAAAGGAGCGAGTGTGGGGAGAAAGAGGTGGGCTTGCAGGCTCTGGTTGAGTAACAGGCTAATTCCACCCCGCTCCCTGACCACGACTCCATCTAATTACCCTGTTTCCTCTGAGCTGATTGGAAAGTGGCCTTGTGTCTGGAAAAGGCAGTAAGCATCTTACATGCATCTGTTCCACCTAATCCCTAATAACTAGTGCCTGTGTGTTCCGGGAGAGGAGGAGGAGGTGGGGGAGGACAGGCAGGGAAGGGTTTCCCATGTACGCTGCCATGTGGCAGTGGGCAGGGCAGCCCTGTTGCCTGGGCCGGGGGCTTTCAGGGAACTAAGACTGTTCCTCTTCTGCCCGTTTCACAATCTGGAGGCCCTTTCCTCCTTCCCCTTGCAATAATAACAAATTTTATTTAAAAAAAAAAAAGAGAGAAAGAGAGAGAGAACTAGGGCTGGGAAGAAGGGCACATTTTGCTGAGCCTCGCTGCAGTTGGGATCTGTTTAAGCCACTCGTTTTCCCCTTGCCCTAATCCTACATTATCCTTTAGGCATGACGTGCAATTCCTGAAGGGGGGTGGGAAGCACTCTCCAGGGCCCTGCATGGTTTGCCCAGGAATTTGGATTGCACTTTTTATGTGCAGCTCCGGGAAGGGGCAGAGGGATAATTATGCAGCCATTTAGTAGCCAGACAGGCACATTTTCAGCAAGCTCTTCCTAGTGGGAGCTAATTCAACACGAGGAAAGTGCGAGGATAAACAGCTCCATTTGCCAGTAAAAGGATTGTCACATCTGGAATTTACACAAGTTACGAGGAGCCAGGAGCCACTATTTTGTTTCGCTCGCACGGTGTCATAAAACATGTTAGCACTTTAAAAGTGTTGCAAGGCAGATGGACACAGGACAATGACATCTCCCATAACCCTGCCATGTCCTTGCCATGGCAGGGGACACCGGACTCAGGCCCACGTCTTGCTCAATGCCCTCAACTTTGTTCCAGCCCCTGGGAAGGGAGGCTTTTGGCCTCCAACACAACCAGCTGGCGTCACATCTCCACATTACAGCCTCAGGAGGCTCCCAGCTGGGAGAGGGACATGCTGTGCCCCCTTGCACACCTCATAGGGGATGCCAGCCTTCCCCCCAGGCTCAACCCACATGGAGGAGGACTAAGTAACCAATCACTTAAAACCAATTTCAAAAAGGTTGGCTGTGCCTCTGTGGGGTGTTTATTTCCAAGAGCTTTCCACATTTATCCAGCCAATTTTCCACTGTTTTGCTTTGGGATTTTTGCAGTTGCAAACTGTGAGTGCTCCTACTGCAAGAGCCTCCTTGCTCATGCCTCAGCACACCAGTGATGCCAGAGGTGATAATGAGTCCCAGAAGCTGAGATGCACCTGGTTCCCATAGAAAGCCCTTGTCCTCACCCCAACAAAAATACTGGGAAGCATCCTGCAAAAGAGTGGTGGGATACAGACATCCACAGGCTAGACCCATCCCATCCAGTAATGGTGGACATAAAAATTAAGAGGAAGAAAACTGAAGTCAATGGCATTAGCCATTTCACCTTTGGCACTTCAGATCCGCACACAGGCCTTAAGGATGAGCAAGGCAAAACCCAACAGCCCACCTTTCCCAATTTACTTTTTCTCTGATTTTGTGTTATGGAGCAGTGGTTACCCAAGAAACCTGCTGCCCACTGACTTTCATGAAGGACCGAGCCAAACTGGGTGAGAAAACAAGTATGAGCACAAAAGTCATCTCTCATCCCACCGTGCTGGTTGTGAAACACTGTACAGAGGTAAAGGCCTGCAGGTTATCATGTAGAAACCTGGCTGTGATTTATATCTCCTCCTCACCCTCCCTCCAAGGGACAAAGTGCTGCCTTGGGGAGGCTCATGTCACTCTGCAGAGGACTGGAAGCATCACTGCTCACTATGCTGTTTGCCGGTGGGGGACAATCCCAGCTTTTGTGAGTCATCCACCTAGCCCATCCAGTACCAGATTCACTGCCTGGAGTCCCACCAGTGCTCGCATGTGCCTCCTGGGGAGCAAACCTCATGGCAGGGACAGCTCCCCTGCAGTGGGATGCACAGCACCAGCCCTTCAAGGGTGACGGGAGATGGAGAGAGTCAGCTGCCTTCTCCTTGAGCTCTCGTGACTGGCCAGAAAAGTGAAGTGAAAGAACATTATGGGAACCTGCAAGGTCAAACTTTGCTTCTAATGCTGTCTTCCTGGTTCACAGGCTTTCTTTTTTGTTTTATTTTGTCACATTTTTTTTCTCATCAAGATAATACTTTATTTTCTTGATGAGAAAGATGCATCAGTTGACCTTCAGCTTTGTTAACAAGAATCATGGAATCATGGAATCATTTAGGTTGGAAAAGACCCCCAAGATCATCCAGTCCAGCCTTTGACAAATCACCACCTTGACAGCTAGACCATGGCTCTGAGTGCCATGTCCAGTCGTTTCTTGAACGCCACCAAGGATAGTAACTACACCAACTCCCTGGGTAGTCTGTTCCAATGCTTAACAACTCTTTCCACGAATAAATTCTTCCTAATGTCCATTCTGAACCTGCCGTGGCATAGCTTGAGGCTGTGTCCTTTTGCACTATCACTAGTGTCCTGAGAGAAGAGGCCAACCTCCACCTGGCTACAACCTCCTGTCAGGTAGTTGTAGAGAGCGATAAGGTCTCCCCTGAGCCTCCTCCTTTTCTCAACTAAACAGCTCCCTTAGCCATTCCTCATAGGACTTACTCTCTAGACCCTTCACCAGCTTCATTGCCCTTCTCTGGACACACTCCAGCACCTCAATGTCTTTCTGCCCTGGTCCTGATGGCCATACCATTGCTGGTACAGGCCAGGATGCCACTGGCCTTCTTGGCCACCTGGCCACACTGCTGGCTCATGTTCAGCCACTGTCAACCAGCACCCCCAGGTCCTTTTTTGCTGGGCTACTTTCCAACCACTCTACTCCAACACTGTAGAGCTACCTGGGGTTGTTGTGACCGAAGTGCAGTACCCAGCACTTGGCCTTGTTGAATTTAATACCGTCGGCCATGGCTCATCAATCCAGCCTGTCCAGATCCCTCTGCAGAGCTTTCCTATCCTCCACATGCAGAAGGCATCTCCTGTCACTCTAACTAAAATTTAAAGCCCTTTAAGGTAACTTGATGTGACTTTCTCATGAGTAAAGGCTCCTGACACTTTAAGATTAGCAGTTGAAAGAAAAAAAATTAAAAGTGTTTTCAAAACCTCCATCTTTAGGTAACAGATAAGTGGCATAAACATTGTGTGCCCAGAACCACAGGCAGTTTTCTGTTAATTGAGGCTGAAGTGCTGAAGTACTTTGAAAACAGAGGTCACTTTTCTCCCAAGTTGTAGAGATGGTTTTGGGGAGGAGCTGTGACCCCAGGTGTCCCAGTAGCACAGACTTGCCTGAATGTGCAAGAGTTGGCATGGAATATAAACAGTAGCAAACAGATGGTGTTTTAGGAGGAGAAAACATCCAATTGATCAAATTTATGGCCAGAGATTGTCCTTACAATTGCAGCTGCAGCCTCACTACCTTCTCCTCAATGTTCCTACCAGCCATGCTACAATAGCTCCAGCCCTCTGAAGACCTTTTCCACAACCTGGTCATTACACCCTCAGGGAAAAAAAACCCAAACAAACAGTCCAACCTGGCATGAACTCTGCCCCCAAGCTACACCTCCAAATGACAGGAGCTGCAGAGCGGTAAGAAGGAAGAAAATTTGGCTTGAACAGATCTCCTCTAATGAGGAGTCAGTACAGAAGAACATTTATTTGCACCAAAGTGCCAAAGACAATGTAGAAACTTACCTAGCATTTATTCGCAGTGCTAGGAGGAGAACACTGAGGTACCTAGGCTTCCCACAGTTAGTGCCTGTAGGAAGAACAAATGACCACAGTTCAGGAGACGTCTCATGGTCCCATGCGGTACATAGAAAGCTTCAATCAGTCCCTCAGTGTCTTGCATTCTTTGAGATCCCTTTCAAAGCCATTAAAAGGCTGTTTAAAACAACAGAGTTCTTTGTATGACAAATTCCACATACTGCATACACAGACATCATGGTTTTCAAAACTCCTGAAAAAATAAATTCACTGTATCATGCTCTGCCTATGGCATGATGCTCTCAGCCTAGATGGATGAAATAAAACAATGACTATGTTATACAATAGGGCTTAGCATGAAGTGGCTATTTTCTACTCTGCCTTCACTGAGGTTCTATCTTTCCAGGATGAAACCTTCATAAATTTTCCATTTGGGGATACTGAGCAGATTTATTCTGACACCCTTCTCTGGGGAAAGTCTGCAGCTTCTGAAAGATGGGACGTGGCTGCAGCATCTGCATGGTCACAGCCTGCTGAGGGGCATTTGTTATCACCCATCCCAACTGAGCTGATTAATCCTCAATAGCAATGGCTTATTTTAATTGTCTGAACTATGTCAAGGCAGGTCCAAATCCCCTTAGCTCCTCTAATTCTAGGAGCTGGATTTTCAGCTCACTTCATAGGGTTTTTGTCTTTCAGTCTTGCACTATCTTTGTACTAAGTCACATACCACAGGCCATACCTTGGGAAAACCCTTATCTGCAGGTTCCTGTCCTGGACAGGGAAAAAGCTGATCTAACATGGAATATGACCCTACTTTGAAAGTGTCCCTCCAGAGGTCCTTTCCAACCAAAGTGTCTCTGAGATAAAAGCATTACACTACTTGAATGGGGATAAGCAGAGTCAAAGTTGCATGAAGCTGGGCTGACCCAGAGCATGACCAGGGCACTAAGCATTCCTGGGAGCCTGGAGATGCCTAACTGGGGGCCAATGCCTGTCCAGAGATGGTCTCCTTTGGGTACAGAAATAATGCCATGCTAATGGGCTTGGAGACTGAGTGTCCACTCCTGAAAATCTCAGCTGAGAGCACTCACCCAGTGCTAGGCAGTGAGCGAGCTGGCAGAAGCACAAATCGTGCCTTCGTTCTCCCTGTTGCCAGATTTCTTCTTTAGCCACGTGATCTATGGTAAAAACTTACCTGCTGCAACTTTATATAACAATTATTTCATCCTTAGATTTCAGACAGCACGTGCAAAATCCAGTTAACTTACCACACCAAAAAAAAGAAAACATGGTACTTCAGATGAGAAGATGAAGTGATAGCCCTGTTTTCAAGGGTGAAGCCTTTACAGTTTGTAATTAAATATAACCCTTTATTTGAGCTATTAACCCAACTTTAATGGAAATCCTTGAGAACTTTACTTAATGTTCTGTAATGGGAAAATGTAAATAAGGCATTTCCAAAGCAGATAATGAACTTTTCTTACAAACATCAGAATGTGTTTTTCCCACACCACAAATGTTATAGGTGATCCAACTGAGGGGCCAAGCAGACATAAACTGTATACTTTTCCATTTCCATGTGAACTGGTGTAAATCAGGAAGAATTCATCTAGTCATTAAGCATAACAGAAACACAGGGGTTTGCTTTGCCTATAGCTTATTCATCTATGGCTCTATATTTAAATATTTTCACAGTATCTCCCACACTGGGGCTTGGGGGTTCATAGGCAGTCAGAGATGTGATTAGATAAAAGACTAATTTAAGGGCTATTTGACTTTTCATCCTTATTCCTTACTGCCTTGCTTTTGTGGGTTTAAAGCACAATCTTTTGACTAATTAAACACATACGAATATTCTGTTGCCTGTGCACTGAATATATAATTAGACTCAAGAGAATGATTATGTGCTCTCTAGCTGACACTAACACTTCAGCATAAAGGTACCCCAGACACCACTAAATGTAACCTATGAGCTCCTGCTAATAATGTGCTGCCTCTGATCTCCAGAGGATTATCTTACTCTAGAGCTCTTATAGGAGCCATATATTGAAAGGGGCCTGAAACAGACACCCTGTAATTTATGTCTCTGCTTAGTACCTCAATGAGGAAAGGTGGCCTTTGCTCTAAATTGTAAGGGCTTCTTTCCTTCTCTTCTTTTCAGGTCTGAAGTCAAGGCACGTGATCTTCAGGGAGTAGAATGCTGTAAGGAACACCTGGGTGGTTTCAGGGAAGGAAGTGTATTTTGTTGCCCAAGCTCCCTCTTTTTTTTCTTTTTTTTTTTTTTTCATATTCAGGACCACTTTTTCCCCTTATAAACACAGAGAAATCTCTTAAATAAATTATAGTAGGCAGGGCCCTGTCTCTCTGCTCCAAAATTAAAAGATGTCTGCTGCTTTATCCTCACCAAGCACTACCTCCTAGTGCTATTATTTAGTATACCTCATAAATATCAGAGTCTATTTCCTTTCCTCTGCTTGGCATTTTTCCCATCACTTTTATGCTGCTGGGCTTTGGTTTTTTTGTTGTTTTTTAACAGAGGTTACCCTCCCAGCCACTACATGATAATGATTTTCTTTTTCTTCTGTGCTCTGTGGTTAGACCAGCTCAGACAACTAGATAAATATTGTGGGGAACTGACCCTTAAATATCAGGTTTGCCTGTGTTTTTTCACAGAGGTCTTTATTTCCTTAAATTGTAGGTGGTCTCCTTAAGACAGCAGGAAGACAAGCCCGATGTAGTGAAAGGAGGGGAAAAAGAAGAAGCAGAAAAATCCCCTTAGGATGTTTCCTATGGTAAAACAGAGTAAAGAATATTTTCAGAAATGGTAAGAAATATTTCAGGGCAGCTCCAGACAAATTCAAATCCAAATCTTCTGTGAGGTTCAGTGAACTCCACAAATTGTGTGTTTCCTCCAAAACCCCAAACCAGGCAACTTGAACCTGATTTTGGAGTGAGTACTGGGTATACTGGAATTTCTGTACCCCTTGGCAATTGTGAAGAATGTTAGGTGTGATTTTTTGATTTCTGTTTTTTCAGAGTAAAGTCTGCTTAAAAAAAGAATGAGTGAGCTACTGAAAAGCAGCCTCTATCAACTAATATCAACCAAAGATGGAGATAAGGAGGGGGGAATGCCTTTTTACTAGAAGTATGGGCTCAGTGTAAGCAATCTGCAAATTTCCTCTCATCTGAAAAAGCGAGTGATACTTGGACAGGCCAAGAGATAACAACAGGCATGCAGCCATAACGTTGGCAATACCTGTGACATTGCTAGCATTACCCTCATGTTAGCATGGCAAAGCATACGGTATCACTGCAGTTCAGTCACTTTTCCACAGGGTCTACCTCCTTAAAAAAATTCCTTCAGCAGGAGACTGCTTACTTTTTTTGTTGTTGTTGTTTACACTGTCAGTAGGACATGTCCTCTGCTGTTACTGAGAAGAACTGTACCAGAGAAGACGTAGGACCTTTGTCAGTGTACTTGATCTCCGGATTTCATCACACATAACATGCTTCACTGCAATTGCTTTACTTTACCCCTTCCTCAACACAAAGAGGTATCCAGACTTCAGAGTTGTGTGTCTGTGCCTAAGCTCCAAGGTAGACATACCTGAACATTGGGAATGAAGCGCACATCTCGTTTACAGCCCCAAAAGTGTGCCATTTGGAAAGTTTAGGAGCAAAGTAATTACTCATCTAGGGAGCACTGCTTATTGGTCCCAGCTTATATCAACCAACTCAAGGTAAAACTTCTTTCCCGGGGCCACAGGTGGTCCAGCTGGCTCCATTGACACCCCTCTGCAGCTCACCCTCAGCCATGGTGGAGCTGCTCTGTGCCACTCACCACACTCTGCTTGTGAGGCCTTGAGGGTTGCAGGTACCTGACACAGGGCATCTGGTGGGATCCTTAATTCACTTTTCTCAAAGTCATTTCCTTTTGGGAAGGAAAACCCAAAGTGTCTGCCTACTCAGATGGAAACATACCACATATCTCAATCAGAGCTGCTAAGACAGATTGCTAAACTTAATTACCAGTTCCAAGGGCTGAGATAGTGAATGACAGGTCAATTCATGCAGTGAGCTAGCAAAGATTGCTGATAAATGCTTTCTAATTGAAAGGATGATAAAACACCTATTAGTCACTGAGGAGCTTGAAGAATGAGTTAGCCCTGGTTTTTTTTACACTATGAAGATCAAGAAGTGCTAATCTCATTAGCGCTCTGTCGTCATTTCCTACCAGCCTAGCCACTCAAAAGGTCCAGGAGGGATTGTGACATTGCAGGAGGGTGACCAGTCACTGTTCTCTCAGTCCTATTAAGGAGATGAATAGAAAGAAGTATTATCAGTGTGGATAGTCTGTTGTACTCTGGAGAACATCAGACATTTTTATGAATTAGGAAAAAAGCAAAGAACAAAACTAACCTCTTACACAGATCTCCCTTGGAAAAGCAACTGTGTTAACAACATGTTGTATCCTTCGCACAGCACTTTCTAGCCTGAAGCATAAGACAGAGGTTAGTGGGCATTAGGGGTCCAGACACTTGAGGCCCACCTCCAGCAATGGTCTGTGTACAAGCAATTTGAAACTCGAAGGCTGAACTTTGCCCTAGACAAACCACTACATGGGCACATGTACCTGTTTTTCACTAAGACATTAGGACAGTCACTCTGGCAGTAGGGCACGGCAGTCACACAGGATGAGAAATACTCTTAGGTCGTCACAGCACGAAATGCTACCAGAGCTGCCCCGCAAAAGCTCTGTGCCTAGACATGACCCAGAAGTTGCCTTCTGCAGAATTAAGTAACACAACACTTGCTGCTGGGAAGACACGGAAAGAGCCGCCACCCATTAGCAGGAACCTCTGCTGCCTTGTTTCCACACTGTGCAACCCTGGATGATCTTTTTCTGCTGTTTCTCTTTCATTTCCTGCTTTTTTGCTGGTCCTTTTAGACCATGAGATATTCAGAGTGAGACTGACAGTGTGTTTGCTCTGTGCTTAACACAATGGGCTACAGCCCCCTCTTAAGCCTCTAGGTACTGCTGTCATGTAAACAATAATCCATGACACTTGCACACACTGCATTGCTGAAATATAGCCATGCTAGAGCTAAGGTTGGGATGTGGCCAAGTGACAAAAGCCACAGAACACGTATAAGGTGAAGCTTTGCCAAAGAAAAAAGGTCAAGTAGTTTTTGCATCCTTAAGAAGCAGACCTCACCTTATGTGTTGGGATGTGCCTTACTTTCCCTTTTCTGTCTCACCAACGCCCACACAGTACCACTCAGTATGCGGTATTTGATATCTACATTAGGAAGCCCAAGGTTTTCCAGAAGGTTGCAGCACTCCTGAAACTGTGCTTGCCATGTTTATCTAGTGACAGATTTGCTGTCTCTATATCAAAAATCGTGTAAATTCTTTCCACAAAGAAGGCCATTTCCCATGGAAAGAAGTGTGCCAACTGGCATATCTGACTAGAGACTGGCTTGAGGGGAGAGAGAAAATAGTTGCACTAACCAGTGTGTGAAAGCAGTCCAACGATGAGATGATTAGTGGTCCTTGTATTTATGGATTCAAATAGTGTAGAAGCTTGTAAAACTGTAAGATCTTGTTCTTTTAATTGCAGATCTCCAAACTTTTGAAAGTCCAGATCAGTCTTGGTCAGCTCATTCTTGTGGTACTCAATACGGTTTGCGTCAAGCCAAAAGCCTCAGGCTACTCACAGACACCCTTCTTCATAGCCAGAGGTACAGGTAGGTATTTTGACAGAACTGCAAGAGACAAATCAGATCAGCAGCTCTGCAAATAAAATCTTACAGATAAAACTTGCAAAGGAGTAACAGTGATGCGCAACTATGGGCAAAAACTTCTTCCATCAGCTGCATCCAAAGGATATATTAACTAGAAGTATAGTGACTACAATAGTACACTAACATTTAGAACAATGAGTCTCATTTAGTGCCTGGCCATGAACAGAGGTCATCTCGTGCCATTCACTTTACAGCACACCTCTCAGACCTGCTCTCCATATGCTCTCCACATGTTATAATTATGTATCAAATATAGTCATGCATATATAATTATGTATCACATAGATATATATTTTAATTTATGTGGTCTCCAAGAGTACTACCCCTGTTGTGCAGGTACTTCTGTTGGTATAAAAATTCTGTTTACTGACTAATTAAAATATATTTCTATAATACATTTTATTATATAAGTTTATTTATATATTTGCTTACACTTACATAAAAATTTCTAAGTTAGGGATAAGCCATGCCACTCTACATCCATTTAAACTACTAAGCACCCATTCTCACTGCAAGATTTTCTACTAGGCACTCGGAAAAGTGCAGCAGCTGAAGCAGGCCAGTCCGTGGTTGTAGTGGTTATACAAAGCTTCAGTATACATCCCAATAAAGGCTCCCTAGCCATTTTCACACATACTCTGGAATAAAGGACACATATCTCAATGATACAGAAGCTTTTCTCCCTCTCTCCATGCTCTCATCATCAGTGAACATCCTTTGGATCAAAGACTGTTTTTTGACCCCAAGAAAAGACTAGCAGTGACAGCAGTGTTTAGGCAGTTGCTCCAACAGTTATTCACAGAAGTGAACTACAAATCATATCAGGCAACTGACTGCTTTTTTTTAATAAAAACATCTTTAATTTTTCAGTGTCTTTTTTTTTCTGAAACACTTTCTTAAGCCAGCTACAGCTGCAGCCTCCATCTCATCAAGCCACAGCCCAAATTAGCATCCATTCAAATTAATGAGATATCCCAAGTTTTATGTTTCATGCTTACTGTAAAACTGAGAAGATGTGAAGCATGTTTACAAATGCAGAGACATTTTGGGAGTTGCCCTGTTTGATGTCTGGACTTGTTTTGTACACACTCTTTATATTGCTACAAGTTCTTGGAGGAGGATCCTTCCGCGGTGACTTTACTAAATTAAATTAAACGAAGCCTCCTTCTGTTTAAGCCAAAGGGAACATGGCTTAAAGCTTTTTTTTTCTTTTCTCCAGTTGTAAGATATCTTTTTAGCTTATATCTTACTGTGTCATCAGCAATTAGGCATGTACAGGAAATCAATCTCAACAGGGATATAAGATTCAAAACATGCCAGTAAGCATTAGATAACAATTCTTTTTAAACACAAGCTCTTCAAAATTATGCTTATTAGTGAAATACAGTGTCTGAGTCAAACACTTAGATAACCTAATAATAATTAATTTTGTTCGAAAGAATAAACCTGAACTGTTTCAGTGATCATAAGAAGACAGACCACTAAGATAAAGCCTGGCCAGACTTCCTCTAGGCTGAGAAGTATGCATAGCAGCATGACAATTGCTAGGAGGGACGTCAGTGTAAAAAAAAAACAAAACAAAAACAAAACAAAAAACAAACCAACCAAACAAAAAACCCCCTCATAACAGAAATTTAGGCCTGGGAAATGCATGTCAGCCAGTAAGGAACTCTGTTCCTGTAGGCCTGGAGATTCAAAATGTCCTTACTGGGTACAAACTAGAAGGATCACTTTTGAGGCACTTGTTTCCTCCAGTGATTGTTTTTTGCATTAAAAATTTTCCCCAATAGTTACTGGAGCTAAGATTTCCCACCTAGACAGACAGGAAAACATAGATATTTTGTGCTTGTATACATATTTCCATATCTCTGTACACACCTACGAATACAAACACAGAGAAGGTCAAATGCTGACCTGAAGGAAGGAAGTGTCCCTTCTCTGGTTACATGTCTGCACATGTAACATCAGGTTCAAACACTGAGGTGAGGTAAATTGGAAATGCTGTGTTTAAGTCAGTAGAGTTAAGCCATTTGATGCTGATCCAAAATATCTGCTTTAAGTATGTAGGCAGGCCATGCCTTCTTAAATCTGAGCAGATCCACTGAGTCAGAGGTAGTTTGCAAAGAATCAAATTTACTCCTTTTCCCCCCTCCACCTGCAGCCTATTAATCCATAAAATTTGGAAAACAATGCAAACACACTGCAGTGTATTATTAGATTTTGAAAAGTCCTGCAGGCTGTTGGAGTTACGCGCAAGAGTTAGGTTAGCAAAGTTGCTCTAGCAACACAATTCTTGAGATGCAGTCAGCAAACCAAGGCTAAAAAAACAAAGAACCCACAAATCAAGAAGAACTGGCAGCTTGTTTCATTGCTTCTGACAGCAAGGTAGTTTTAGTCCTGCTTTCATTTGGCCATGTGTGTCCTTAGTGATTTTGAAACTGGAAAGGACCTATTAGATATGTTGAATTGGGGTACTGCCAGTAGCTATTGCTTTCAAGACCTTTACACACTGAGATGGGAAGAATGCGTCCATGAAATAGATACTGGAGCCTGTGTGTTTGTGCATGTGTGTGTCAACTTCAGAAGTAAAAAGGCCTGAATGAGTTAGATCTGTAAACTTAGCTCCCTTCGGGAAAACTCCTTCTCCAGAAACCTTCTGCTTTTTTGGAAAATACACGTTCATGTTATTCCAGCTCTCTTATATATTTTGTAATTCCAATATGCAGTGAGATCAGTGTCTACATTGGCATAAAGGACTCCTGCACAAACGAGGAATAAAATGTCAAGACTGCTACACAGATACGCAAATTTATCTACAAAAAGGCTTAACATGCTGTTTTACATTCACAAATAATAGTGCATGGGTACCCAGATACACCTTCATCCTTGCTCTTAATAGTTTTCACTTAATGACTTTATTAGTCAGAATTCTTCTGTAACATAGAAGGAGACCCTGGAAGAGAGTTTGATGTAGAAAGGACATCACAACACTCTGCCTCTCTGTTTCCATCTTGCGTCTATATCCTGTGATTTCAATTCCACCTCCAAGTTGGACTGAAGTGGAAGAAAAACCCTCCACAGTGCCCCTCCATAGCATCACTCTGACAGGGAGACAAAGACATGTCTCCATGGGATGGAGACAGGCTCAGAGGACACATAGCTGACCACTGGTCTCTCTGCATTGCCTGCTGCACTTCTTGACCCTGTGCCACTTCCAGACTTTGAGTGTAGCAGTGGGCCATGGGCCGTTTCATCAGCCCTAACTCCCAGCAATTGTCTTTGTGATTGGAGAGTTACCTGCTTGCTCCATAGCTAGTAAAGGAAGCAACCAGACAACTGGTGCAATACGCAAGTCCCTGTTGCCTCCCCATGGGATGGGACGTGCCCTGTCATCCATTTGCAGAGCTCGCTGGACCAGGAGTGTGAGAACGGATGAGGTCCTACTCCACATCCAGCCATGGCACCTGAGCTCAGCTGGGAGGCGCCTGCAGCCAGCTCCCAGGTTCAACCCTTCGTGTCCAGCAGCAGCAGCGGGGAGTTCTCAGATGAATGCTCCTGCCCTGGAACTCACTCCCCTTGGCAGTTGCTCAGACCTTGAGTCCACTGACCTTCAGGGCACCATACAAGCTTCATTCATTTTGCTTAATGTTCGATTAACTGAGTTTTCTTCTATAATTTACTCTCAGATT